ACACGTGTTTTATTGTCTGTTTCTATGTTAGAAGTTATTTTTTGTGCATCAGTTGACTGATGATGTCTTTAGAATAAAGACGAAACGTCTCAATTTGAAATGGTCATTTCAACATGGAACTGAATTATAAAAGTAACTGCAGTTTCTAGTTCACTTTTTCAATTTCCTATGATTCTACTAGATCTCTATTCAAATTTTAACATTTACATCTGATAATTCATTTATTTGTAGGAAATGAGCGTGGATATTCGATTAGACGATACTGATTATGATTCGTTTTTTGGGTTAAGTAGTGTTTCATCATCGACCGCATCGGTAAATATTTCGTATTAATTCTTGTAGTTGTTGAATTTAACGTGTGTTTTCTATGCTAATTTCTAGAAGTCACCAGTTACAGAAAATGACTCTGATAGTGGTATTGGAGTCTCGGATACACCATCGATGGCATTAGACAATTGTGTATTTGATTTTCCTAATCTCGGTAATAAGAGAGACGAACGTTTTGTACATTTTTTTATAATACACGCTTGGTCATTAAGATGCATGGCAATTGAATATGGATAGTCCATTTTCCGACGATACCAATGAATTCAACCAGTTGTCCGCATTAATTGATGATAAAGTAAGTAGATAAAAAGAGAATTATTTAACATATTATTTCTTGTTTTCCTATTTAGAATCCAATATTGATTGGGGACGGTTTGACTGACCATTCTACAATAGACCAGTTTCTTGCTGAGTTTGAATTTGCACAAAAACAAGAGAGTCTTCAACAAATTGTACGGAAATCATCATAGCTGAGTGACAAGCGAAGCCATTCCTTCAATGTTTTTTTCATTTTCTAGCCGTGCTTATCACCGTTAACATCTCCGTCATGTTACATACAATCACAAACAATAAAGTCACCTACAATAGTGACTTCACCATCACCGGCGTCAGCTGTTCAATACCATCGTCCAGTATTACCTAAGCCATCTCCAATTCAAAATTTGACCTCAAATACAAATTATCATCAACAACAGCAACAACAACAACATTTACAACCAATAACAAATTGTGTCAAATTGCAATCATACACAAATACCGCTACAAGCGGAAAAAAATGCGTTAAAATAGAACCAATACAATCTCAATCATCTTCGGTTACACAAATGTCACCAAATATCACAATAATCACAACAGCAAAACCTATTACAGTTGCAAAATTTCCTTTAATCAAAATGCCAGTTAATGGATCTCAAGTTACGTTTGTGAAGTCAGGTAAAATCTTTTTATTTTTGGCTACTTCATGTGATGTCACCATTCTTCTTTAATTCAGTCTATCTCTTTATTTCTGTATTTTTAAGAACCTGATTCAAACAATTCAGCACTTTCACGCGTGGCAGCAATAGCAGATACGGAAACCTATTACTCAACAGCAAATGTAATAACACCACCTGCAAAACGTCGACGTTCTCAAAGTTCTGTTCAACAGCACCCGCCCGGTGTGGCTTTACCAGTTACGACATCGATAACAAACACGAATTGTATTACAACAGCGCCCGCTATTGATACAATACAATCTTCTTCACTCACGGCAACAACGGTGACACTTGACCAGCTTAAAGTACAATATGGAAATGCAAGTGTACGTATTGATTACTAAAGGAAAAACAATACTCGTCGTATTTCAACATTTTTAAATTCCAGGAAGAAGCGCTTAAAAAACACTTACGTATGATTAAAAATCGAGAATCAGCCAGTTTATCGCGTAAACGTCGCAAACAGGTACGATGTTCATTTATGTACAGAAAACTAATTCAAAATTTTCTGATTTTTATAATTGTAGTTAATGGAAAATCTTGAAGTTAAAGTTAAAGAATTGGCTGATGATAATGACCGTTTAAAAAATGAAAACAATAAATTACTTAATCGTATTCAAACACTCGAGATGGAGGTAATAATTCGCACAAAATTGTTTCTTGATGCTTAAAAAGAAGTCCTTCCGACATGTAAAAAATGTTAACATTCTAGCGAAAAAGTAGTCTGAGAAGTTTTGAAGAAGTCTTAAAAGTGGACCCTCCCTATCAATCCTTAACTAAACGTGAATTCTGAAATAATTTATTGGAATAACTGAAATCGCTTGCAGGCTTCCCGATCAGGGAGGGGGAAGGGCTAGCCCCTCCCTAAAAACATTTTTGGACTTTCCGGCAAAATTTTTTACGTTTTTTGACAAGCAACTTTCTGCCAAAAATTTAGAAAAATTTTTTCGTCAGCTACTTTCCACGAAGAAAATTTTTTAGCACCTCCCATCCCTGAAAACAATCGGAAACCCTGATCGCTTGTTAAATTCTAGTTGGCAGTTGTAGTAGCTTGCAGATAAAACCATTATATTTTTCTTTTATTCTTTAAACGAATAATTGTATTTTTTTCAATTTTTCTTTCAGAATGATCTGTTAAAAGCCTGCAAATTTATAAGCTCTCCAATACGTAATCGCAAACCTGTTATTTTGATGGGTATTGTATTGTTGGTCGTGTTTAATATACTTACATTAAAGTATGGAGTTTATGTTTATTAAAGACGAAGAATGCTATAGAATGTTATTGATCATTTTAGATCTCTTTCTCCGGTTTCAAATGATATACCTAATACACTGGCTATTTACGATCGTTCTCAACAATATGCACGTTCACTACCACTTGTACCTAGTCGTGCTATTTTAAGTTATAATGAAAACGATAATGAGTCATACATGAGCGATCAAAATATCAAATATCCATATATGCAGTGTGTAGCATTTATTAATAAAACCCATTCACAACGGTAAGAACATTTGATTATTTTAAAGTTTGTTTCTTTATTACCTGGTGTTTATGTAGAATAAACAAAGATTTACATTCATGGGTCGAAGATCATAATAAACAAGGCATTATAAAAGAGAAAAGTTCATCGCCGATTATTCTCAATAGTGTACCATTAGCAATACATGATACAAAAAATAAGAAAACTTCAACGGCAACGGCTGAAAAACCAAATGGAAACAGTCCATCATCGAGATTAATACTCCGAAAAAAATCACATTCAAAGTATGTTATTTGATTTATTTTCTACAGAAATAACACAAACGAGAAAAAATGGATAAGATTCTTTCAATATGAAATCACTGCATTATACTGAATGGCAACTGGTAAACATCTTTGTTGAATGTTTCACTAAACAAAAGTATTATTTTAATACTTTAGATGAAATATGCGTTCGTTGTCTTTTTATCTGTGATAGTGTATGCAAGTAGTCAAACTTTATTTTTAGACCTATCGACGATGTTGAAGTTGAAGATGAACAAGATCATCAGGCAACGGCAGAGCGCAGCAACTCTCTACAACCTTATAATCGACATGATCGAAATCATGATGAATTTTTTCGAGCTATTAATAGAAAAAACGACACTGTATATATTGTGTCGTTCAAACGAGTAAGTTTCTTTACAAATGTTAAATGTATTGTTATGATGTAAACAAGAATTTCTTCACATGATCATACCGAGATGAACACAATTTTAACAACTACTGAACAATACATAGTATTGGTGTAACATCTTTTTGTTCCTAGTTTCTACAGTACTCCACAAAAGTAGCGGTCCCCTGTAGCTCAAAAACCATGATAGCTAAGGACTTTAATTTTGTGTGATCATTGTTCTCACCAAATGCCGATCACCCAACAAGTTTAGGTCTCTTTTCCTGGACGGTTCGTGCGATTTAAGCGTTTCATTTCTTTTCCGCAAAATGCTAATAACTCCTGATCCAAGAACGATGAAAACGTTTGAGGAACTAAGGATCAAAATGTAGCATGATTGTAGTTTTTGGATCTTAACTGGAACCTTTCAACTGCTCTCCGACCATTTTATAAACCTATCTAGTTTTTTCTCGTAAGATATGAAGCCAACATTTCTATGCCATTCGAATCACCAAACGTTGACGAACAAACTACATATCGTTTTCTTTTTTATTTTGCCTTGTCGATCAGAAAATTCGTTTTTGCTAGGTAAGGAGCGAAAACGTCGGAATTCTACATTAATTCTCAATTTCTCCATCAGAGCTCATAATCTGTGCAGTAAAAGTACCATATTCGGAATCAGCGTCAAACACTGAGTCGAAAGATGTACTTTTTCGTCACATTCGACCACTTTTGTTTTTTACGAATATTCACGTCGAAAAAAACAAAAAGGAAGTCGAACCGACATTCAGCGACTAAGAAATGCGACGAATCGAATCGAACCGATCGATTTCTTGTAAAAAATCAAATTGGACCGATCCTATCTCTGTTACATACGCATCGCTGACCTTCGCCATTTTACCTATTTTGCGCCCTATTCACTTCCCTTATATTTTAAAGCAAGACTAATAACATATTTGAGATCAGCAGACAAAACTGGGTTGAATAGCATACTTAAAATTCAGTTTTCGATTTTCATTAAAAATTTTCTCTCTGGGTTAGATTTGTGTGTGTAATCTTTCTGATAAAAGTTTTACCTACGTTTTTCAGACCCATGGGTTTCGATGGTTATTTTTTCATGATTATGATGTACATTGAATGCAGATTTTATAGTAGAACGAACAGCCCTTAGTTCCTCACTCTCGCTCCTCTGCGTATGTTTCAATCATGGGTGCTCGTTCTCAGTGAATTTGCAGAAACATATAATAGTTAACCTTCATACTTTGGCTAGATAATCTGCAGATACTGTAGAGTCTTTGGTGCGAATTTGAAGTCAAATTAATGCTCCTAGAATCCAAAAATCAAAGCGATCCTCACTCGTAAAATGCTGTATTTCACTGACTATTAACAGCTAACTCACGAAATTCATATCGTAGATAGGGTAAAGTCTTGGCTACATTTTCGTAAAACGTTTTCATCGTTCTTGGATCAGGAGTTATTAGCATTTTGCGGAAAAGAAATGAAACGCTTAAATCGCACGAACTATCCAGGAAAAGAGGCCTAAACTTGCTGGATGATCTGCATTTGGTGAGAATAATGATCACACAAAATTAGAAGTCCTTAGCTATCATGGTTCTTGAGCTACAGGGGTTCGCTACTTTTGTGGAGTACAGTAATACATGTTTGATTTTATCCTAGGATCATTTAATTTTACCTGCAACTGTTCAAAATCAAACACAACGTCCAAAAATGACTTTGGTTATGCCGGCATCGATGACTAATTTTAATAGTAAGTCTAGTTTACTCATTTTCTGTGTAACTGATTCGACTTTTATTTTTGTATAGAATCAATGCGTGTACCACCACATCATGTTCCGATGATTCAGATTGATTGTGAAGTGGATGATACAAAATTAGTTTATGTCAAACGTGGGTCCATACCATTTTCATATCAAAATGATTTATTTCAATATTATACAACAGCACCACAAAAAACATTCGGTTGAAAATTTTGTTGTCTATCTGTTTGCTTTGGTGATGGATCTATCAATGTGCATTCCGTTTTCTTTCTTTTTATGTGCTATTAATTGTGCTAATCTGATTTTTTCTCTTTGTCTGTCTCTCATATTTATTCTTGGTAACATTCGATATTGTTTCTTTCGCATTTTTATGTTTGTTATGTTGTTAAGTGATATATTAATCAAAATACTATTCCCATTGGAAAAATATTTGTTGACTTTTGTTTTGATAACTTATATCGGGTAGACGGTCTAGCAATCTTTTCGTTTTTCCCACAAAAAATGATCTTTCGACAGTGTTTTTATTGTTGTTTTTATATTTTTTTGTAATGTTGTAAATGCTCGCTTGTTTTTCTCTTCTTTTTGATCTCGCACAGAATATTGTGTTTTTGTACAGATTAATGACATATTTATTACAACGTTTTGATTTATTTTGTTTTTTTTGTACCGGGATGTTGTTTTCAAATATGTTTCTAATAGAAACAAAACTATTGTTTGTTATTATTTTTTCTAGAAATACGAAAAGAGATTAAACTATGTAGAATCGAAAAAATCTCAACTAAAAAACATTGAATGATATTGGTGTTTTATGTTTGTTTTTTGTTATATATGAAACTACTTGTCTTTATGCTTTTTGTTCTGTTTTGAAAACAGTTAAAAGAGAAACTTTTCAAAATTACTCCTTACTCCTTTGCCTACATTTGTCTCTGGTATTGTTGTTATAATTTAGCTGTTCGTTGTTTGTTTTTTTTGAAACTGCTATTTGTGGCATGTTTTCACGTGATTAGTTTGTTATATTCGGTCTCAAAAACGATATTTACTTATTTGTGTTTGAATTATGAAGCAAGAAATAAAACAAAAGCGTTTTTGTGCAGCAATAAATTCATTAATATGTCCAAATTTTATGTGATTATGGTCAAAACACTGGAAACAAATAGCAATTTTTCAACGAGTAGACAAGTAAACTATTTGAAATAGGCTTGTCGTCCTAGTCCTGCAGGCTGAATGGCGAAAAGTTTTGTCAATATTAAACAATGTTGTTTACAATAAAAAAACTGCGGTTTTCAGTATTAAACAAGCATTTAAATCCTAATTTATTTTTCTAAAGGAATGTATAGGGTCTGTTTAGAAAATGTCCAGCAACTTTTAAGAGAAGCTAACGGAAGAAGGGGAGAATGAGAAATAAACATTCTCTTTTAAATTACAAAACTAACAATTTTTCATAAAGTTTCTTGTTTTTACTTCGGATAGCCACCGAAAGGACGGATTTTTCTCATAGAAATATCATGGAGAGAAGATCAGCAATTACATTATACAATGATTTTCACTATAGAAAAAAAGAAAAATATCAACAAATGAAATGAAGTAAAGCGTTTTTCTTATTTCCTGTCAAAACTCTTCTCTGTTATCCATGATGCAGAGACACTAGGTCATGATGACAAAAGAAAGCATGAAAATTTTTGTTTCTAGATTTTAGATTGATATAGTTAGTTTATTGTAAACATGTCAAACGATAAACAAAGTAATCTACTTGAACAAATTCGTAAAACAACGACGGTAGTAGCTGATAGCGGTGACTTTGAAACATTAAAAAAATATAAACCGACCGATGCTACAACAAATCCGTCGTTAATTTTACAAGCAGCTGGTATGTCACAATATGATCATTTTATTGATGAAGCAATCAAAATGTGTAAAGAAAAACAAGATAAAGCACAAGATACAAATTTGAATAATGATCAATCCTTAATTGATGATATTATGGATCATTTATTCGTTGTGTTTGGTCGTGAAATATTAAAAGTGGTACCAGGACGAGTATCAACTGAAGTAGATGCACGTTTATCATTTAATAAACAAGGACAAATAAATAAAGCTCGACATTTAATTGCATTATATGATAAAATGGGCATAGATAAACAACGAATATTAATCAAATTATCATCAACATGGGAAGGTAAGTTTATAGTTGATAATGGGAGACTACAAGAGATCATATTTCGAAACTTCGATCTTTTTGAAAGATGTGGAAGACATATGGTCCCGAATATAGGATACCGATGTTGTTATTTGAATAAGTTTTAATCGTCATAATTTTCGTTTTCTCTTCAAGGTATACAAGCAGCCAATGAATTAGAAAAACAGCATGGTATTCATTGTAATATGACATTGATATTTTCATTTGCACAAGCATTAGCTTGTGCTGATGCGAATGTTACATTAATATCACCATTTGTTGGTCGTATTTATGATTGGTATATTGAGAAACAAGGTAAAAAAGAATATGATATTGAAGACGATCCTGGAGTTCAAAGTGTGACAAAAATTTACAATTATTATAAAAAACATGATATTAAAACAGTTGTTATGGGTGCATCATTTCGTAACATTAAACAAATAATTGGTTTAAATGGATGTGATCTGCTAACAATAAGTCCAAAATTATTAGACGAAATGGAAAAATCGACGGATCAAATTAAACTTTATTTAAATAAAGATCAGGCTAAACAAATGAACGATATTGAACATGTGAACAAATTAGATGAAATAAGATTTCGTTGGATGATGAATGAGGATGAAATGGCCAGTGATAAATTAGCCGATGGTATTCGAAAATTTGCAGCTGATGCTAAAAAATTAGAAGATCTAATTCGAAAACGTTTGGAAAAATAAAAATAAACAAAATAAACTAATAATATTACTCTAAAACTTTATCATACACATTCCCGTGAATTTATAATCTTATGTTATTTTATTCAAATGTAGTCATTTTATTAATAGCTCAAACTAATTTTCAGTGTTCTTTATTTCTCTTTTCTTTCTTCCTTGCCACCGATGACGAAGTTCCACCGTCTTTTTTATTGTTATTTTGATGTGTGTCGTTTACTGAAAAGGGAAAAATCTTATTTTTATAGTTTTACTTTACAAAATGATAAGTTATCTATATTCATTTAATTCGACTACTTTTCTGGTAACGGATGTACTACTTACTTATCTCTATTACCTTTTTTATCCTAACAAACTTTATTTTATATTTATTAAAGATAATTCAATGGCAATCAAAAAATCATTTTAAAGATAGATTAGATCAATCTGGAAGTGCTTCCATATGTCCATGCGCAATAAACTAAATGTTATGCATTAAATACAGCTTGTGTTTGACAAGGTCTTCTCGTCCTTCCGAAGAACTTTTTTTCACTATGCGCATGTGAGTGTACAAGTCACGGAAAAAAAACAAAATGCGTCTACTAGTCTACTCTGAGTATAATAAAAAGTCCAATACATGACAGCAGCCACAAACGAAAACTTTATTGTAAGTCACTGAAAACCTTAATGTAAAGGTTCAGAGAAATTCCACCTTTTAGTATGTACCATTACTGTGAAATTGTAAATTGCGTGAAAAGAGCTAACATATGTTTATAAGCCGGAAGTTTCTAATCTATTTTCAAAGAATTCGGCTTTCGAAGCAAGAAAAGAGAAAAAAACGACATTATCAAAAGTAAATACATAGCGCCCAATTTATCTTACAAAAACTAGTAAGTGCAATTAGTTGCACGATCTGTATGGAAGGCAAAAATCCCACTACAAGCACTCCTTATGTTTCCGTACACCAGTCTTGGGTAATAACCTTGTTTCAAGTTTAAAAACTTCAATAATAATTCGTGATTTCATTAGATTTTTTTTAATCATCGTAATTAGAGATCGACACGCATCGTGTTCGGGTCGAAAACGTTTTTCGTCAGATCAGGCCGAACCAAGGATTTTGGATGGAAAAATATCATACTCAAAATATATAAGACGTGCGATAAATTATGTATGATCTATATTGTAGTAGGTGTCTGACTTTTCTGAGAAATGCGCATGAGATTCTTTAGATATGCACAAATCTCTAATTCATATTTATGTCTACTACCGAAAACCTAGACTTGCTCTAATTTATTCTACTAGTCTAACGAAGTAAATAGAATAAGTAAAAGAAGTCATGAACTAGTCATGGTTGCAATGTATTTACATCGGTTTCTTAACAAGTATTACAGATATAAGATTTTGTAAGAAATTGAAAAGATAAGATAAAATGTCATATCATAAAATCTTTAAGAGCGGTTGCATCGGTCAGAATTCAAGTCGAAAACTTTCGACCTACTTCTGATAAGAAGTATGACACTTAGCAAAGAAAAATTTCTTTTGAATGTAAAAACATTAGTCTTCTCACGTAGGAAAAAGCAAATTATGTTACTTGTTCATTTCATTTTGTTCAATGACAGCATGAAAAAAAAAAGGAATAGGGATCATAGTCATCAAGTATTGAACTTCCATTTTCGTTTTATATGAAACAATTATTTTGATTCAAAGCTAAAGATAGTGTTATATAGGGGATATATGTATATGTGCAATATTACTGCAGTGGTCAATAAAGAAACCTCTGTATTAAAATAACAATTTTTCTTAATGTACTTTTTTTCATCTGAAGTAAGGTTCTTTCTTTTTCTCCACGCACAAAACAATCAATGAAGTGCTTTTATTCCTGGGTTCAGTATAAGATTAAAAAAATTAAATGTGTGCATTAGAGTCTTGTTACAAAGTCATTCAAGACAATTTTCAAGAACTCTTTTTCTCTGTGTATATTCATATTGGATAAAAAAGAAATCTGCGATATTGAATTTGGTTTGAAAATTATAAATCATTACACACTATTTCTGGTGGTAGAAGAAAGAAGAACAATAAAAAACAGAAGATCTCCAATAAAAAAAAAAAAACGCTTTTACAAGTACTCAAATTTTTCTAGTATTCTAAATTGAGCTTTCAATTCAATGAACATCTATCATTCTATCACGTCAAATGTAATCAGCAGTTAACGAATAAAAGAATGATTGTTTAATATATGTTTTTATACATAAATCTATATATAGATAAATATATACATGTACTCAAAGTTAACAAGACACGTATGAACAACAGTCAACAAGAATGGAGAAGTTTCATCATGATGATCGATTGTCACGACAATTAAAGCAAACGGTTTTAAGGCATCTATTGGGTATGTAATTCTAATGAATTTTGTATACTTTAGTTACCATAGAAACACGATTCTTTATAGAATAATGATATCGTCAATAATATTACTATTATGGGTTAAATCGGTTACGGGCGAACCGTCCAGATACATTATAAATGCAAATCAGAAGTCATTATACCCTTCGGCAAGTGAAACTGAGAAGTTAGCAATAGTACAATGGAGAACCTCGAAACAAAGAAGAAAAAAAATCTAAGGTTAAGATGTAAAGATTTATGATGTAACTCATACGCGAGGAGATTTTCTGCAAGCTTTAGTTTTAATTCTTTTTGGCTCTCGTTATTTTCCGATAATTTCTTGTTGAACATATAATCAACTATTCTAATACGCATAAGGACAGTATAAATCAGAGTTGATATAAGGACAATACGTTTATAAGCGTTATTGCTAGGAATTACTCAAAAAATAAGCATTAAATGATCTAAAATATATTTTTGAAACAGTTTCTAAGAATATTTTCAGTACGACAAAGAATGACAGTTAGGGTAAAAAAAGAATTTTAAATAATAATTTTAATACTCAGTTAAAAATGTATGAAATATACTTTGGAAAACAATTCCTAACAACGTGAATACAAATTACATCATGTCACATAGCACGAAGCTTTTTTTATGAAGGTCGTATTCTACTATAGCTTGCATTCTGTATTCTGGTCAAGTTATTCTAGTTTTCATTTGATTCTTCATTCTAATACATCTAAATATTTAGCTTCTCAATCATTTTCCAACTAAAAGAGCTCAAATAAATGTTTTAAAAACAGTAGCCGTCACGATCCCTAGTAGTATTTCCGCTTCATTTCGCACAAAGAATAACGATCTTGACAAGAAATTCGAAATTTTTATGCAATATATCTGTTTCAGCTATTTTCTTAAGACAGTTATATTTTGTTGATTTCATCATGTTTTACTCGGTCTTTTCATCGAGAACGTGATGCAATCAGTTTTTTGAGTTTTTATCTATAATTGGCTTTCACTGTACATATTCTTTACCTACAAAGGCAAACAACAAAGGAAAAGTCATTTTTAACTCAGGATAGGTCAAAGTGAGCACACAGCAAAGGCGTCTTTCTGCCGCTTCAACTTTAAATCTTTCCATTATCTTTTGTCACACTATTGAACTGTTTTAATGGAAGTTTTGACATTCTATGATATGCTTTTTAAAAGATAATTCTCCTATTATATTTATTGAGCTATCACGTTGTTGTATTTCTCAGTTTTGGTTTATCATGCTAACGGACTTTGCTCTTAAAATAAAAGTGAGATTAAGGCTAATGTCTTTTTGATTCACTTGTGAGTTTTATCGATAAGATAACGTTGTCGTATGTGAATGGAACATTCACGCTTGGACGATCCAATTGGAGAATGCGTATCCGCAGATACTAGACGCTAATATCAGTTCATTGGTAGAGCCAAACTAGCGTCCTGTGAATGAGATGGTATAGCTTGGTACCCAATCCTTCGTACGTCAAACAAGATCGATCTGACTTTCGCTACATCCTGAAAAAATGGTGTTCGTGTTCGGATCTCAGTAAGAATAACACAAGGAGTGCCACTAGGAATGTTCATAGTAATATGGATGTCCATGGTATCATCCATATCCCCCTATTTTTGTACAGATCGATGGAGGAGAGAATGGACAATAGAAACAGCATACTTAAAATTATTTTCGACCTGATCGAAAAATATGTTTATCCTTACGAGACGAAGGGAAGACGGGCACTGTTCTCAATGCACCCAAAATGATATTAAAAACTGTGTGGATAGTAAAACTCCATTCTACTGGAAACTATCAAAATATCCGTGCGCAAATGGTAAGAACAAATAATCATAGCCCATCAGTCATTTTTGACCCATTTTATGATCGTTCGTTCACCATAAACGTTTTTTTAAATGGTTTATGATGCTGCAAATCAAAAGGAGTTAAATGTGACACAAAATGTCACTCAAGGAAAAAAAAAGTTTGTTCAAACATTTAAAATATTTAATTAATTATAGAACATCATTGACTTTTTTCCTTTGAGGTTGTTTATGTATTTTTGATATTTAGAAGGGACTTTTGATATGTTTATGGTAATAAAAAGATACTTTCTAATAATAATATAGCATGTGTTTCTATGGTTTTGTGGATTTCCGACGGATATAGTAGTAAATTTTAATTTCTCCTACAGTGGAAATTAAAATAACTTGTGTAATTTTATCTTCTAGCAGAGTTTAAAATTCCCCTATAGGTAACTTAAGATTTGAGTTAGCACTAGGACAACTTGAATAGCCGGATATTTTAATTTTTCTTCCCTAGGGCAAATTAAAATTTCAATTTACCCTAGAGAGATTTGAAATTTCCCTGTCATATAGACAACAGACTACAAATATGACATACTGTTTTCAAAAAATTACTGTAGCTACACGAGACAAAGAGAACGCGGTCATTTTTCTCTCTGCATCCGAAATTATATAAAAACCTGTTAGATAGTTAAGCTCGCCAAGATCCATACTACAAGAAACGATAAAAACATACGTGGACAAATGGAAAGAACGAATAAGCATTGACTTTTACTCATTTTTGACCCATTTTCACCTAAACTTGGGCGCTTTATCGGAAAATATTCCAGCCAATATTGGTTTTGGTTGAAAATAAACCGTATATTCGTAGTACGAAGAAATAAATGAGCAATCGAAGAATGGACAACATTCTTTAGATGACTTGGAGAACGATCCATTTTATCTGATTATTTAATCCACTGTTGATTTATCGAATTGATCCACTATTCGTTTAAAAAGCGTTGTTTCGTTTTGTTTTCTATATTAAAAAGACAATCTAGAGTCATTCATATACACCAAGCTTGTAGAGTAGTCGTGTTTTTAGTTCTGTAGTTGTTATGTCACACCTGTATGTTGTAATCTAACGAATAACGTGTTAACACGAATAGAACAACATATTTCCACCATAAGAGGATCAAATAATACTACGTATGAAGATAGTGAAATAAAGCAATCTAATACTTACCCTAATTGAAACTAAAGAAACTTTTCAAGAAATAATCGATACCATTCTCAAATTCAATTATTTATAGTATTTAAAAATATTGCTCTTTCATTGAAATAGTAAAAATTTATTGAACATACCCCTTCTCAAATAGTACATACTAAGAGAGAAACTCTTTTTTAGCTAACAAGATAGTTAAGAGTAATTGAAACGCGTATGTGACGTATTTTTGTCCGTAGATTACGAATATACAGTTTATTTTCAACCAAAACCAATATTAGCTGGAATATTTTCCGATAAAGCGCCCAAGTTTAGATGAAAATGGGTCAAAAATGAGTAAAAGTCAATGCTTATTCGTTCTTTCCATTTGTCCACGTATGTTTTTATCGTTTCTTGTAGTATGGATCTTGGCGAGTTCATCCAACAGGTTTTTATATAATTTTTTTTAAAACAGGTTGACACGAATTCAATTTGAAAATTTTGTACTTACTGTCTTAAAAAAAAGGTTCTGTCATCTATTATAGTTTCTTTCTAATAACCGCTGATTTCTCTGAAAAAGAGAGAATCATTTAACTTAAACGATTCTTTCTTTCTGAGAGAAATCAGCGCTTATTAGAACGAGGCTTGTTCTAATGGTTGGTAAAGGCAGATAAAAAATTGTACGTGGGTCTTAAAAGGTAAAGAAAAGTTGAAATTCACTGATGAAATCTAGGTACTACAAAAAACTGAAAAATGGAAAGCATGTTTTCTAAAAACATGTATAATTTGAAAAGGCAAATGTAACCTGCGGTGATTATATTATTTTATACCGAAAGTCAACAATAAACGTTAAAATACAGCTTTATTTCCGATCTTGTTTTCCTTTATTACTTGAGTGTTAAAAAAAAAACAGTTTCAAAAATAAATCATGAACGTGTTTTGTTTTGAAATTACAATAATAATCATAAGTCATTAATAATGGTAAAAACGATTATTGTGAAATAAAATATTTTCTACGGAATAAGATAGACAAAGAGAGAAAAAGCGAGAATTAAAAAAAAATAATTTTACTTTTATCAAAATAAAAGGACATAATCTGATATATTTGATATTCTACTGGAATGATTCTGTTTTGGTATACATACATTTTTTTCAAACACTTAACATTTTTTTGTTGGTGTAAAGAGCTACTTGAGATCATTTTGTTTCAAAGACAAAACAAAGTCAACGAAAACAAAACAATTGCACCTTTTTTTTGTTCACATGAGTTTCATGACAAGAAGAAAAAAAATTTATGAAAGAAATTTATATTTTACACATTTTTAAATGATGAAGAGGGATCTTTTTTAACTGTCTATACAAGAAAGGATTAGAGGTCAAAGCAAATATGTGATTCAAAGTTAGACAGCACCTTATATGACAATTGTGTTTTTAAAATAATGACTACATCAAATCTCTCCCTGTTAAAATTTCCACAAATTCATCCGGTAAAATCAGATAATAAAGTTCAGACTAAAACAGGTTAGTAATCTTTATCTTATTCTTTCTTTTTTATTTGCGTTTAATTCGTTTTGTTCACATTTTTTTTGTAGGTACAACTTCATTTGAACAATGGCGAGCTAGTATACACAAACAATTAGAAGAAGACCTCCAACGTAAAGTTCGTGAAGTTTTAGAAGAATCAGAGAGACAAGAACGACTTGCAAAATTAAAATATCGTCGGTAAATAATAAATATAATTATTTTAGTTATTTGTAAATAGAATGAATACAAAAAGAATTACGTTTGATAGTAGCAAACTATATACGCCTATGAAGTTAATGATAAGAGATATAGCAGCAATAATAATAAATAAGTTTCCGAGTTTTCATGCTACTATTGTAAATCTTTTTCCATAATAGAAGACTATAATCTTTTTAGTGTTGATAAAACCTTTTTTCCAAAAAGGGCGAATATGAAAAAGAGTTGTGCTTTTGAATAATACCTTTATAAATTTCTGTATCGTTTTACGATCTAGTTTTATCTCCGCGTCGTTTAGTTCATTTTCTATAGATGTTACTCTTAGAACTTTGTCTAGATAATATTCATATGAAAAGAATTATTTTCCCATAGTTATATGACGTTCGCGAAATATTGTTAAAGTTCTGGATCTTTACGCTTTTTTTTAGCGAAGATACAGTTCTGTTTTATCATATAAATATCATTTCTAGACATGCATTTGAAATAATTTATGTCGAAGAATGTCCGATTAATTGATAGAAAAACTTCAGAAGAGATTAGAAAGAGAGAAAAGTACGTCAGTGACATATTAATATTGTTTACTGAACGAAAGAGACAACAAAAACAGTAAAATATAGGTAAAAATCGGCGCCAATACTAGCATTGGTCTAAAAAGTACTTTTTTGTCGTCACTAACAAGCAAAAAGAAATTGTCGCCACAGAAGATCAATGCTAATGCTCAGAATTCGACTTGACAGACAGAATAGAAGACTAAATCCTAAAACATGCTATTTTAGATATTAAACGGCATTGTACTGTTTGTTTTCTCTACTTTACTTTACTAATCACTTTTTGAATAGATTTTTAGAGTGTTTTCAGTCACTTGGTACTGTTTTTCATCAAAATGTAACAGAAAAAAAAAATTTTCCTGCGCAGATTATGCAATACGTAAAATGCACACTTCAGAATTACATTTTATACAGCAGATGATTTTCTGCACAAATACTGAAGTAATTTAATATACTACTCGATTTTTTCATTCACACCTTAGTCAACTGTCTGTAATTCTGTTCTTTCATTAGTAGTTCTACCAATGAAAAATTCTTTATCGAAGAGATACTAAAGTCAACTTACAGATAGAAGATGTTATTTTTCTCTCTCACTCATTCTGCCAAATAATTTCTTAAGAAATTCTGGGTCTTTTTGAAATTTTGTTTAAACATATCAAACTTACGTTTGTCAATGTACTTTATAGACACTGATATCTTCTATGTTTTGTTGAAAACAGCATCTCAGAATATTGTTTCATTCAAAAGATACAATCATTCTACTACCTAATCACCAAGATGTCACAGGAAAAACATCTGTTTTTATTTTTAGTCTAGAGCTAGGATCAAACAAATATCATATTCTAATGAGGCAAGAATTACTCTACAAATATAACATGATATTAGTCTGGAATAAGAGGGGAACAGATTTCAACCCTTGTACGGTGAGGTTCTTTATCAGACTCATGGCGACGGATATCATCAAACATAAGGGTGTAGCCGAAGGCCGTTTGGGTGAGGATTGTTAATGAATTAAACAAAAAATATATTTTATCGAAAATTGGTTAATTGTCATGAAATTTGTCAACATGTATCGACAAGCAAATCGTCGGAAATGATGCAATACGCTTTAAATATTGTAGAACTTCATTTACACTCACCTTCTTCATCTCCTCCTCCTCTTATCCACCCATACGTACAGTTAACCATTATCACGAAATAAAATTACTAGAATTCATAGAATTTTGAAAGCGGTGAATTTTATTTTTTTTGTATCAAGTAGTGAGAACTAAGGATTAAGCACTAAACATTGTTTAATTCTTGTAATTATTGCGAACTACCCAAAATTTAAAGAATATTTTTGTCAAATTAGGTTGTCTTTGATGTTTAATTCTGTAGTTTTTGCTCTTGGTACAAAATCTGCCTGACGTTGAATGCTGATGCGTCTTCAATTCTTCACTTGAATAAGTACTTTGAATTAGACCATTACATTTTTTTGTGATCTTTATTCAAATTCTACAGCAGGCGCTGTAGAAAGGCTACAGTTGCACAGTGGGCATTTTTTGCTGGAGCAGGCGGACTTTAGCTTTACGAGTGAAGTAAAATTTCATGAACCATTTTTTTATAGGTTTTTCATGATCCTCTTTCTAATGGCATGAGAGTTGGGTTTTGAAAAAGT